TGATTGAGATAACATCTAAAGGATAATTGGCAAGCAGAATTCTAAGTCCATCGATATGCTTAGTCAAGCTACAACCAGTTGCAAAAGTACTTGAGACATTGTACCGTATTTTGGCATAAATGGCCTGTCCATGATCTTGTGATTTGACCCCCCCTCCATCCCTTATCAAAGTTGCTAGCAATACAAGACCATGCCCAAAACTTGGAGGAACAGCTTTGAATGGGAGGGAGGAGGGAGGTCAGTATTATATCTCACAGACCTGTGACCATGAGGACCCCATGAGCGATTTGAAGCAAGAAAGGTCGTTTTTTCGTGGGAGTGTCTCAACATTTTTGCAACTGGAGCCATTTTAAAGCCACGTTTAGTAGGCAAAAAATTGTTGGTAAGATCTGGAGGGGTATCTTTAGTAACTTCATTTATCATGAGTAATGCTTCTCTCAAAAGACACGGCAATTCATTAGGAATTCAAATATTTTTAACATGACGTACAAAATCAGAAGCAAACGCCTTGGTTGCGGACAAATTTAAATGAAAGTGCGAACCCAGAAAGAATAAGATAAGGACGTTTCTCAAGACTCCTGTTGTCTCCTTAGCCTTGAGCGCTCCTCTCTTACGGTTTTCGCTGGAGTTTAGGATGTGGTCCACCTAGTATTTCACGTCTCTATTAAAAGAGAGGCAGCACTTCTTGTTCACCATTTCGTTGTCAGGCAGCGCCTTATAGAGTCTCAGCCTTTGGTTGATTTTTCATCTATGCGCTCTATCCTGGCAAACCTCGTCCCCATGGTGCTTTTCGCTGGCTTTGGCGGTGGGGAGCCCCACCTCCAAAGCCAGGGAAAAGCGCCCTGGGGACGAGGTTGGATCCTGGCAATGTAAACTTATACTTTTATACTCTGAGGGAGCCAAAGGGCATCCCTCCTTTTTTCTTCGTTTAGCGTCGTCCGACCGACCCAATTTTTTGAAAGATGAACGTTAGGGACTGTGCAATAATTATCAGGAGGGGGGTGGGGGGGCTGAAAAACTAGAGTTATCTAGCAAAAACTTAGACAGTACCCCCCCTCCAAAACAAGAAAAATGAATTCTAACCCCCCTCTGTTATGTTAAAAATAACGTCGCACTCCCCCTCCCACCACCCACTCACCCAAACACACACACCCACCCCTCACCGCCACCATTTTATTTACATCTCGAAAAAAACTTAAGGCCCCCCCTCCGTCAAATTAGTGATTTTACTTTCAGCGCCCCTATCTTGGCAGCAATTTTATGTAATGCCCCCCCCCCTCTAGTTTTTCAGCGCCCCTCCTGATAATTATTGCACAGCCCCTTATAACATCATTCCCAGGCATAAGAGGTTCGGTGATGTATCCTTTTTGCTATGAAATCGACCATAATACTTTCCGCCATATTGAGTTTGCTTCGATTTGGTGACCATGTCTTGTTGCGTTTTCAAAAACAAAAGTATAAACGTCTGTGGACAGACTACTCACGTCTAGACATCAAGCATCACTTACGGTATGATGGAACTTATCGCCTCTCCCTATTCACGGTAGTCTCCCTCGCAGCCGTTTTTAGTATCGTCACGCACCAGAAATGCCTTTAAGTAAATACCTTTTATATTGTCATGCTACTGTAAGCCTCTTTCCCTTTTTAGTTCAAACTGTGTGCCTCCTTTTAGCTGTTGTTTTCGGTTTTTACTGAAATTCTCGGCATTGAAGAAATTCACAACCACAGGAACTGGTTGTGGGCTTCTGACAACGAGCAATCCGGTAGGCAATGTAATGTTTGTGTAATAATTGAAAACGGCTGGCGAAAATAACGAAAATAACAGCTCCTCGGTGCTTTAAGGTATCCAGGGGAGGCGTAGGCGTATTTTTTATCTACAGAAACTCTCAGTTTTCGGCCTCTTCAGCAAGGAAAGACACACTACCAACTCCCTCGTATCGCCAGTGCTGATAACGCATTTCGAAAAACGTCGCCAGAACCTATAAAACGTTTTATGAAACGGTGTAAAAACAAACAAACAAACAAAAAATACTCTGAGATCACACACAACATATTGACAACGCTTCTTGAATAGGACGCTAACTGTCCCATTTATAAGACTTTATAAGAGCGGGTCTTAAGTTAGCAGGGACGTAGTGTCCTTATACGCACATACGCCCGTGCGTACAGCTGGTCTTTGGAAAAAAAAAATAATTTCCTGAGCTGAAAGCATTTTTATCATGAATTCAGGTATATTTTTCGTGAAGAAGATTTCAGAACTTGATCATAAAGTATCAGTGCCGCGCGCAACGCCATTCGTATGAGTTGCGTCGAAAAACGAGGCCACAAACAAGTGGTACGCGGTCAATCCGTGAAAAGTAACGCAATCTCCGTCGCCTTTTGAGAGCCAAAGATGCTCTTGCCGATGCTGTCTTTGATGTTTTTTAAGTCCAATATCTAGGAAACCCATGCTATATAAGGAATGAAACATGCACTCATAGGCTTTGTTCTTTTCGGTAAAATTCAATTCCTGGACGCAAAACGTTGTGATTTTAAAGTTTATCTGGTTTATTATAGCGCTTTGCCCTTTCAAAAACTTACGTGACTCGTGCACTTGGCTGGAGTTGACAGCGTAAATCTGCCTTTCTTTTGAGCAAACGGTTTTAAATTATATCAGATCGTTGGATAAACACGTCTTGGTTTCTGAAAGCTGATAACATCAAACCACTATTGCTCAAACTGATTTCTTATAGTATTTTTCCGAAGTTTCTGGTCATTGAAGGACGTAACAAACTAAGTCAATTTAATTACAAAGCTCTTGTAGCCAACAATGATCAATTGGAGAACGTTACAAAATTCAAGTATCTTGGAGTGATCATAAACAGCATCTTACTTGGCATGACCACATTGAACAACTACAAAGTAAAATAGCAAAGAGACTATAGGTGTCTTAAAACTAATCAAGCATCTTCTCCCAGTTTAAGCAATAAGGATCTATGTGTCAACAACAGTGCCCTACTGAAAACTACATTATGTGACATTGGCCATCTGTAAAAAGAACTTTATTATTATTGTTATTACTGTTAGTATTATTATTATTATAAGAGGCTAATGGTGATGTGCTGCTGGATGGGGTCGCATTTTCAATAGAATTACTAGAATGGGGTCGCACATTTTCGGATTTTGGGGGTAACAAAGTTCTTCATATTTACGGTTAGCAAACGTACCAGAATGTTTGTACTGTAGGTGAAAAGAAACGTGTTCTTCATTCAATTAAAAAAAAATGGGTCAATTCATTTCAGGATAACCTATTTAAAGGATTGATAAGGTAGATACATAAATAGAGAGTGACTAAGTTGGGATCGCAAAAATTACATTTCCTCAAAAGTGTAGTAAGATGGGGTCTATAACTGGCCACAGAATAGACTATAATGGGGTAGGGGCTCTGAGAGGCCAGCAGCACATACCCATCAAAAATTAACCCAAGTACCCCCTCGGAACCGAACAAAGTCCTTAGGCCAAGGGCAAACGTCGAACTTCGTTTGGTTCGTCATTCCTCGCTAACGCCAAGTTCCTTAACGAGATAATTTACAACTAGTAATAGTTGACACTACAGCTGCCCCCGTTCTGTATATTGTCGGTCAATAGTATTCTTGCTGGTTGTGTAGCTCTTTGAAATATACCGATTCATAATGAAGATTTTCACATATATTACATACTGACAATAGGTGAGATAAATACAGGAAACGCAAGGTTTCATGCACAGTTTCAGCTCGATTTACACAGCTTTGATCAAAACATTCTCAGTTTCGAGAATAGTTTATTCTAAACCATAAGAAAAGATTTAATTAGAAGTTGAATTTTTCGCTATTTCTCTTTTTCTTTTTACATTCAGGTCATTTTATTTGCCGGAAAGTAAGCCTTAGAAATTAAAAGGATGTTTGATCGATTCACGCTAGCGCATTTTAGTCTTATTTGAAACTTTATAACGGAAGGACATCTGTGAACAGGGAATAAGTCAGCACAGAATTTGATTGTCGGCGAATTTCTGTAAATGTCCATCAATCTGCTAGTGATAAGCTAGCCGTTGTTCACTCGTCTTGCTTGTTTGGGGCTGAGTCTTATTCCGGTCAGAGTGAGAAAGAGTGTCTGGCAAGGTTTCCAATATAAATCAAAGATTGTGAACTCGTGTCTGGCAAACTCTCCAAGTGTTTATATATACACAGTTAAACGCACCTTATAACCTCCCCTGCGCTTAACGAGTGTCTTTTGGCCCATAACTTTCAAAACAACTGCTCCACAAAATGTCACTGCGTAACGCAAAAGAGTATCGAAGTATGACTGCACAATAAATGTCACAAAATCTACCTGAGCGGTCCCTTAGGGATTTTTTGTCTTTACGTCATTCTAACCATTTCGTACTTGCGGGCGCAAACAATAGAAACGTCATCATTACCTACCGATTCCTCGCGGCCCCAGTTCGAGCAAATCGATATTTTTTCTAGTATACTGACTGTATATTTGAACTGTAAGTACTGTCCTTAATATACGCCCGAGTTACTAGGGTGCCTCCTCGGGATTTCGCCTCTGGGCGAAATCCCTGAGGGGCAATTATTCCAGGAGTGCACTTTGGATATGAGAAGGTAGATAGCCAACGAGGAGCGTGTAAATCCCAGGTAGCTATAATCATCTCATATCCAACAAGCGCGAGTGCAGTATGGAATAATTGTTTTATTAAAAACGCCCACAAAATATCGAGAGTTCTCCCCGACTTTATTTGTTAATTAAAAACAACCGTTTTTCAATTTGCTTTTAATTTTGAGCAGACTCGCAGACGCGTACAGTTACCATATTTGGAGAGCATGCTATAATGGCTCATATACCAAGATGCCTAAGCCAATCAGAGCTCTAGAAATGCATTATCCAATGATTCAGTTTTTAATAATACGCGTTATTGGCAGTATTAACCCAATGGACTAGACAGCCGTGGCACAGCCTCTTTAACGGAAAAGCCTGTCTGTTCATTTAGACCTTGCGGGTTTCAATTTCATTTCACTAGCCAGGAGTGGGTTCCAATACCAGACATAAATACTGTCACCATAATTGGAATTCAGGTTTGAGTTCCAACAGTTGTTGTACCACCATGCTCCCTTTCCAGTTACAGCACAGTTGTTACCATTTTCGTCATTATCTCGATCCTTTGTGGTGAAAGCCATGTCATTATGAGCAGTCAGTCGATCCTCCGCTGTACCAGAGTAAAACCCAACAAACAGCGTGTAGTTAGATGCCTCGTTAGTGACTGTAAAAGTGCTGTATTTCGCGTACTTGTTGCCATCTTTTTTTGTCTTAATTTCCACTCGCAGCTGACTCGGAATCTCTGTCAGTTGGTGAATCTTCTCGTTCCCAAGCCAAAACTCCCCTCTGATGTCACCAAAGCCGTTCTTGTACTCTTCCCACCCCCTGTAAAAGTCCCAAGCCCCATTAAAGCGCTTGTGAAATACTGTCCATCCTCCGCCATCAGTCTTCATGTCACAAAACACTTCGAAACTGGCTTTGTTCGTTGGGTTGACGGTATACACACCACTTTCTTTAAATCCAGCAGAAAACAGTTCTTGGCAATCTCGGGCTACAGTCATGATCAATAAAATATATCCATTAATCAATCCGTCAACGTAATAAGGAATGAGTTAGGGGTATCTGAAATTGTGTACTGCCATGACTATAATCGAAGTTGAATTGTTGCCTATTCAACTGGTACGACATCAAAGTAGTTACCCTGCGAACAGAGTCTCCTGCGATCTTCCTAGTTAGGAAAGATCGAAGCGACTCTGCTAGCAGGGTAGCAACTGGCAGTAAATGCGTATTTAATCAGGGACACTTAAATTGATTAGATTTGCAGTACAATTAAACTCCTTTAATACGGACATTGAGGGGCCATGGAAAGTGTCCGTATTAAGCGGGTTGAATTTAGAGAAAATGTAGGGGTTTCTTTTCCCCAGGGACAAAGAAAACTGTCCATAATAATGAGGTGTCTGTATTAAGCGGATGTCCGTATAGCGGGGTTCGACTGAAGTTGCATCTCGACTCAGTTAGACAGAGTTCAAGGGAAAACCCAAAAACCAGCAGGCAAAGAAAAACACTTCTTACCAGTTTTAACAATAATTTGTACTTCGGTCTCCACCTGAAGCAACCCACTCCGAGCAGAGCAGATGTAAATGCCACTGTCTTCATCCTTCAAGCCGCGTATCTTTAGCTGTCCATCCTTCACCTGCGTGCGTCCCCTGGGCAACTCTCCATTGCATCGTGACCACGTGATGTTCGGTACTGACTGTCCATCTGCAGAGCAGTTCAGTGTAACTGACTGTCCGTGATAACGCTCTATCTTCTTTGGTGGCTTGACGGTGAACTGCGGCATCACATTAACTACTAAAGTAGTCATGGCGTGCGAAGTGCCCATGGCATTTCTAGCGGTGCAGATGTATGTTCCTCCGTCCTTATTCTCTGCTTTCTTTATTGTTAAGGTTTGACCATCTACAGCGATTCTTCCAGTTGGAAGTTGATCGAAAAGCTTTGTCCAGGATATAACCGCAGGAGGATATCCGATGACTTGGCATTTGGGGAGACTGATATCTTTTCTGCTTTCAGCGTAGATTGGCCCTGGAGCGAGTGAAATGACTGGTAGAGCTGCAAATGATCAGTTTCATTCAATGAAATTACGTTTGTGTTTTTTCGTGTTGTGACTTTATCTCTGTTCTCCTCACTTCTGCCCTTCTAACTTTGAAAGAAGCGCCGGTACACTGAGCGGTTTGTTAGATAAAAAATGGTCCTGTTTTTTCTTTTTTTTTCATTTGAGTTAGTAAGGTAATGAGCACAAAAAGAACGGCATACATTAAAAAACAACACGCTTCAAGTGCAAGCCCTTCGTAGGAGTGTATCAAAGGACTCTTAGTGCAAAACAAGAATAAATTAGCAGTTATAAGCAGTATTAACCACGTCCGTAAGATAATAATTTGGTCCTGACTTTTGATAATAACTCGACGCATAAAGGATGCAGCTTATATCGCGATCAGGTGGATTTAGAAAGGTTAGTATTTATCCTGAAACTGAGACTGTAATATTAACTAGATCACAGATATTCGCTGAATTTCTTTTCAAAGGATCTTGCGGACATCAAGAAAAGAATATGAAACTAAAAGGAGAACTTTAGAACTACGTACGTACATACTTACTATCACCCACTGACTTCCTAATAAAAATTGCTGTGCTGTCGCAGGTGGCAATCCGATTAGTTATTGTCATTAAAAAGAGGAATCTTTGAATGTTTCCAGTTCAATCCGACTAGATTGCCTATGCAGTTAAATTGGTGCACAGCATGACTTTAAAACATATTTTCATGGTTTATTATTTTTTTATATACCTTTCACATTAAGTGTGACAGCAGCTTGTGCGGTCCCCTGGTGAGTGCGAATCGTGCAGACGTACACGCCATTGTCACTGATGATCACATTCTTGATAAACAGTCTTCCTTTGATGATGGAATATCTTCCGACGGGGAGAGATCCATCCTTTTTAGACCATGAGATGGTCGCGTAAACGTTTTTATCTGGTGCACACTGAAATGTAGCTGACTCGTTTAAGAAGGCAGTCCTAAAGGTTGGCTGAACTAATATCCCAGGGGCTTTAATGACATCATCTGATTGGTTCTTAACTGGCTGTAGATAAGTTGGAGTCAACGAACTTGCTACTCCGGGATCTCCCTTATCTCCCTTCATCCCAGCCGGCCCTTGAGGCCCGGGGGGTCCTGGAGGACCCGGAGGTCCCTGAGGTCCCAAATTTCCCGGAGTTCCTGATTTTCCCTGAGGGCCTTGAGGTCCTGCAGGTCCCTGGGATCCCTGTGGTCCTTGAGATCCCGGGGGTCCTTGAGGTCCCCGAGATCCCTTCACACATATCTGGCGACCTTTCTTGGTGCAGACTTTACGTGTTGCAGAGTTGACAGCTTTAGTGATTTGTTTTCTTATTGCTGGAGTTAGAGAACTGTTACTTTTGCTTGTGGCCTTGATGGCTCGAGCGCTTCGACTTATCTGTACAGCTGAAGGCAGGTTGGAGTCGATGTTCACGGAGTGGATATCTGTAAGAAAACAGTCATACAGACTCAATAGTCTCATCGTGTAATAAATGCATGGCTTCCTTGTCATATTGTTAAAAATGTTTTACACATTTTTAGCTTTATTCAGTGTTCGATTGGTTGGTTTGCTTGTGTATTATTAGATTGATACACCTTGCCTAGCGTGAATAGTGACTTAAGAACTTCCGTTTTTTCCCCTCCCTCCAGAATTCATTTTGCAGATTCATGGTATACCTACCATACAGAAGACAATACACCTTACCTTCCCTTCTATTGTCCTAAGCTGTAATTTCCTAATAAGGTTAAAAATCATCACCTACTTCTCGCAGAATAAAAAAAGCCAAACGCTTACTGCAGGGTTAGACTGTTGTATGTAAGGCTATAGTACAAAACAGGTGTCGCCTCCTGACAGATATAGTAAGCAAAATGTAATCCTTTTGGGCTTCATTAGGGTTGTGTCCTCAGAATTTTAGTTTTTATATTTTGGATTAAAATAAATTGCCTGCAAATTGAATAATCTTTTTTTTTAACCAAAGAGAGCCTTAGCTAATATCAAATAACAGAAGTTAAACTTATCGACGAGATGAGCTTGGGAGCGGGTACCTCAAAGGTGGAAGGGCCTGCAGCGCAAAAGGGGTGCCTTACCTTGGAGATAACCATGGAAACCAACCCAGCAACCACCCCCCAGCATCGTCACACTGAAGAAAAATTCAGCGGAATACTTACCATAACCCATAGTTACCTAGCCAGAGGGAGGGAGGAGTGGGAGCAAAACCGGCAGATATCACAATCAGTGACTAGTACTGATCTGCAATGATCACAATGCAAAGCAAAGCGAAGCAAAGCAAAGCTGAAATATGCCAACACATGTCAGCCCTTGAAGACTGCAAGGCCACCCCGCACAGGCCTGCATGCCTGGGGCTCAACCACTGACCTGCAAGCATTGTCTCGAGGTTAACCTTGCCTAAATTACAATTTAGCCACATTTAATAGGCTTCTGCAAATTGTTAGTATATATATAAAGACATTTTCAAAGCATCCATTTTTCTTGAAAACGAAAACACTATTCTTTCTCTTGCTGTAATAAATACGGAGTAGAGGACACACATAAGCTGAAAACAAACGAATTATTCTAAAGACCTTAATTGAAAATCAGTGCTATTGATCAGAAATGAACATTACACTAGTCGTTTTAGTATCGGCCAAGAATTGTTAGGAGGAAAATGTAGATTTCATTGGGTTTTTAATTTATTTCATGGCGCGTGGACTACAAAATTTATAAAATAGGATTTCAACCGTTCACTGATTGAATAAGTTTTTCTGATTTAAGTCTGTGCGAACTTTATAACCAGGAATGTTTATTTTCTGTACAAACATTGTAACTGGGATTGTTTACTCATGTATTTAATTATTGGAACAGTGTGCCTTACGAAATTTCTGTACGCATATTATATGTACCCTCGAAATTGAATTTTCTAGAAACAGTTATTCAGCTTAGTCCCTGAACAACTACTGGACCTTTCTCCTGTCAAATACCAACCGTTTGTAGTTTTAGTTTTCACATTTTAAGGAGTCCTGAGCACAGGAAACGCGAATTCTTTTACACCGCTTTCTTTGTAAACTTCCTAAATTCACTTGCTTCACTGACATTTATATTAATTAATTTTGAGTCATTTAGTTTAACTTGATAATTATGAACTTTAAAGCTGAATTTATCTAGATTTGTTTTCGGTGTTCAGCTGATTTTATTCAGCCTTCTTTCCATTTGTCTTGTGATGTTGTAATAAGCTGATCGGTTAGTATAAATAGAGCACTGTTATCGATTTACATTTTTTGATGCACATGGCTGTCGATGATTTACGTTCACGAGCTGAAGATTAAACTCGGTTGAAGTCCAAGTTTGAGTGCTGTCATGTTTTCCCAGTCGTAGCAGATCCTAGTACCGTGGAACGGTGACGAGTTCCTCTCCCGCTAGCCAAGCGAGTTGCAGATTTAGTTTTTCCCCTTGTTGTTCACACGCCAAAGTCGCTCGAATTCCCTTAACGCTTATTTCCCCGATTTGTGCTTGGAAGGGCAAAACCTATCGTCCCAGAATAGATTATCAATCCGAAGGGGGCATTCTTAAAGTCTATACTACCACTTTGATGTCGTCCTGATTTAGGCAATTTCCTTGCAAAGTTTTCATTTCTTTCGGCATCACGGCTATCCGGAAATGATAGAACATTAAGCTGACAAGAAGCATGAAAATGACCCTGTTCAAGGAAACGAGAGAATCAACGATCCTAAAACTGTAACTCAAAAGCTGAAGGGCTTGCGACCATTTTAACTAATTTAGTAGTCTCGATTGCCTTTTGTAGTTTCTACAATTCTTTGTTCTCTGAAAGAGAAACTGAAAGAGGCAGAAAAGTATAAAATTTCATTTTGCTAAACATCGAAAGAAATAAAAAAGAGGTCAAACTTAAAACGTTACAAGGCAAGGCAGACCATCATTTCAAAATCAAACGAGGGCTATCAAGATCTTTGTAGACCAATTTCTACATATTTAAATTCATACCTGGCCCCGAGGCTTAGACGAATAATACAAAAGAATTAACCTTGAGGTTCAGCAATGAATGCTTCGTAGCTAAAAAGTAAGAATTTTTCGATGTATTTCAAATTGGTCTATTTACCCTGTAGTTTAAATTGAATGTCGAGGCTTAATTAGCACCCATTTGTGGGAACAAAAATAAGATATTTCCGAACTTTAATTAGGAATCATCCAATTTCCATGAAAAGAGAAAGGAAAAAGAGCATTTTACAATGGAAATCTGACATTTAACAAAATAAGTGTTACCTTTGTTTAAGAAAGGAGGGTCCTTGGCTGTACCAATTGTCTTTACATGTTGCTCGATCACTTCGAATTTCTCCTTGAGAGCTCCTAGCTCCAGTTCTAATCTTACATAGCCAGTGCTTAAAAAAATTATGCTGATGAACATAACACAACAGCAAGCTACGAGGACGCGAGATATTCCACCAGATGAACTCGTCATTGTGCGCAAAGCAAAGTCTTCTAATAACTGAGGAAATCTGCCCGCATGAAATTTCCTTTAGTGACGAGGCCTCAGCTAAATGGGAAGTAAATGCTGTCAGTTAACCTGCGCTAAGAGATTCAGTCTTTGTTACGTGTCTATCGTGGATTAACACGTACAGTTGAAGCAAGTGCTGTCTTAGTAATACCGGATGAATGTCTCTGTTTTCCTTGTCACCAACTGACCCTTTCTATTATCTCTGAGTCAAATCTTTATAGTGAAAACTTCTAAGGGACCGGTCATTATTTATCACCACGAGGGGGGGGGGGATTTTTGGGGGGGGTCACTTGATTTTTAGGAGGACAAACGGGGGATCACCGGAAACTTTGGAAGGATTCAGAGAGGGGACCACTCAAATTTTCTTGGAAAATGAAGACATGGTTGGGGGGGGGGGAGGGGGGGGGGGGAATCGCGAAAGTTATCAAATGTTATTCAGTGAAGTAAGATTCAAAGGGGGGATCGGCTAAATTTCACCTTATTTAGCCCCAAATCCTCCACCCTCTCCCCGCTTCCCCCCCAGGCGATAAATAATGATCGGTCCCTAAGTGAAGCTTTGCTTTGACGTTTGTTTGGTATCGAACTCTTTGCATTTTTTTCCCTAGCGACCTTATTACCTCGCAATCATCTACGCTATATTGGCTTTTCATACTTCCGTTTTCTTGGTGACCAAAAGGCATCAAAGTCGTCAAAACCCCCGCGTCTATACCAGAGTTTCCAACAACCACAACAAGCCTTCGAAAACGTATATCTAGCATTATGTTTTTGTTCGCAAGCAAATCTATGTATTCTAAGTAAGTTTGCAATTTTTAATCCTGTAGACAGAAAAATGGCGACAATTGTCCGAAACAGAGCGAAGAAAGCACCAGGAAAGGATATAGACAAGAGAGTTCATTCTCTCTAGATACAGACCATTAATTTTTGTATGGGGAGATCAAGAGGGTGTTTCTTGGTTTTTTGGAAACCATTGTTGGTTTGCTTTGGGAGTGGTGTGGGATCGTGCAGTGTCTTTTCAATCTTTTGTCTAGATCTTAAGCCATTTGGCGATTGTACCCGTCTGCAACACCAAAAAACTACCAATCAATACACCTGAATTGTTTGCTTTCGGTAACTTAACATTACCATGACGCAGATTTTAAATGCAGTCGAATCTCTTCCTTCATGTGAAGGGGCGACTCCTGTTTGTCTCATTCTCATTCAAGTGATGAGGATGCTGTCTGCTCGTCCTCAGTCGCTCGCGATTACTTTTTGGGGGATGTTTGAGTTAACTATTAAAGAAAGCGAGGGAGAAAAGACTCACTACCCGCTCGCCCTCTGCACTCGTTCCTATCATCCCCCTCTCCCCGCTTTTCGCTTTTAATTGTCTCCAGCTCTTGCGCTTCTGGCTTGTTCAGTGCTCCCCACTAAACCTTAGGAAAGCCTGTGGAGGAGGCTGATTAATTGAAATTGGCAGAAATCGAGGATTGACAGAAAGCCAATATATCACTGTACCCTTAATGGTACCTCTTACGAACGTACGTTCAGAAATATTATCAAATAAATAAATGAATATAAATGCAGTCATATTGTATTGGACTAAAGTCTCCTTTAGGAATCAAATAAGGCCTGAGCCAAGACTAGATTGGATTCCCCCAGGGAATTAACTATAATTTTCCGACGAGTATCCCCGCCTTTGTTATCTGGGATTCTCCTCTCCAGGCAACTCTCCATAACGGCCATTTTTGTTTTGGCCCTGGCGGTAGAGGATCTACCTCCCTATAACGGACACCTCTCTACAAGGTTACTTACTTAGGGGAAAGGTTTGACATTAAAATGATGAAGGGCTGAAACGTTGACTCGGAGTCGAAAAGAATAGAGCGGTGATATTCAACGTCTCTTTGTTTGACGCACATGGATGACCGGTAGCCTCGGGCGTTGCCCGCCTTTGTGAGAGGCGATTTCCCCAACCCTTAGTTCGGAAGTTCACCGGCGAGAC